ACTTTTTTAAAAAGTTTATGGCATTTTAACCCTGGTCCATGCACACTATCGGCGACCTTTAATGACCGCGATTTTTACAAAAAATATTAAGTTCAAACAATAAAAACCAAACTATTCTGACTTGGATTTTCATAACTAATACTTTGGTATACAATAAGTATATCTTGAACCATTCATTTTGACTAAAACGCCATTGTCCACGAACTTTTTGGACAACCCTCGTATAGTGAAAATGCATTATTTCTTTGAAAATCTTCTTCTCTGCTCCTGGGTATTAAATAAACTAACTAAGTACATAGTTAGGATGAGCAAGAGTGCCTCTTCCAAAATTGTGAATTTCATGGCCCGTGGGTCAGGAGTTCTGGTGTTAGGACGGGGCTCTATTGATTATATAGTGAAAATGCATTAATTCATTGAAAATCTTCTTCTCTGCTCCTGGGTATTAAATAAACTAACTAAGTACATAGTTAGGATGAGCAAGAGTGCCTCTTCCAAAATTGTGAATTTCATGGCTCCAGGGGCAGGGGTTCTGGTGCTAGGGCGGGGCTCTATTAATTATAAAGTGAAAATAATTTAATTCTTTAAAACTCTTTTTCTCTGCTCCTGGGTATTAAATAAACTAACTAAGTACATAGTTAGGATGAGCAAGAGTGCCTCTTCCAAAATTGTGAATTTCATGGCCCCTGGGTCAGGGGTTCTGGTGTTAGGGCGGGGCTCTATTGATTATATAGTGAAAATGCATTAATTCTTTGAAAATCTTCTTCTCTGCTCCTGGGTATTATTGAAACAAATTAAATACATAGTTAGGATGAGCAAGAGTGCCTCTTCCAAAATTGTGAATTTCGTGGCCCCTAGATCAGGGGTTCTGGTGCTAGGGCGGGGCTCTATTGATTATAAAGTGAAAATGTTTTAATTCTTTAAAACTCTTTTTCTCTGCACCTGGGTATTATTTAAACAAACTAAGTACATTGTTATGATAAGCAAGGATGCCTCTTCCAAAATTGTGAATTTCGTGGCCCCTGGATCAGGGGTTCTGGTGCTAGGGTGGGGCTCTATTGATTATAAAGTGAAAATGTTTTAATTCTTTAAAAATCTTTTTCTCTGCACCTGGGTATTATTTAAACAAACTAAGTACATTGTTATGATAAGCAAGGATGCCTCTTCCAAAATTGTGAATTTAATGACCCCAGGTTTAAGGGTTCTAGTGGGGGGTGGGGGTGGTGGGTGGTAGGGGGGCTTCTATTGATTATAAAGTGAAAAAGCAAAATTTCTTTGAAAATATTCTTTTCTGCTTCTGGTTAAAAAAGCAAAGAAGCTAAGTGTATAGTTATGATGAGCAAGAGTGCTTCTTCCAGAGTAGTGAATTTCATGACCCCTGGGTCATATGTGCTGGTGTGAGGGTGGGGCTCTTGATAATATAGTGAAAATGCATTAATTCTATTAAATAATCCTGTTTGCTCCTTAGTGTTAAGCAGATAAACAAAGTGATTAGTTATGATGAGCAAACTTATAGTCCCAGTGTCAGAAGCTCTGGTATTGCGGGGGGGGGGGGGGGGGGGGGGCTCTATTGATAATATAGTGAATCTGTAGTAAAAATGCATTATTTCTTTAAAAATCTTCTCCACACCTGGGCATATCTGAGGCAAACAAAGTAAAAGTTTTTATAAGGAAGGGAATTTTTACCAGATTTTTGAACATCTGGACCATTTGGTCAAGTGTTCTGGTCCTGGCCAGGGCTCAATTAGTTTGTATTCTACTGAGAGGAGTTATTCACCTTTGCCATTTACTTTTGATAATTTATCACTGTAAATAATGTACTTGAAAGGTAAATAGAATAAGAGAATTATGCAAAAACCTTTATTGTATAATACAAAAAGTACTTTTATAGTTTTAATGATCAGATAGACTTGTAAGTAGTAGATAAATAAAAATGACACAAAAATAACTTGTCTTATCAAATGTTCATCAAGGACCAAGAGAGGCCAATGTAAGAGATTTCAACAAGGGATTAAAATAGTAGAAGCATTGATAATTTGTTAATATACTGTATGGTGATAGTGATAAATGGGGAACAAATTAAAACCTAATTTATGAACTGTTAATGAATATTAAGACCAATTATTTTGTTGATCATGATCACCCTATTTTTCTTGCTTTTGGGCAACAAAGCTTCACCCCCAGTTCATTTTATACTCTATGCATCCTTTAAATTGTTGTATCATACTCAGGTGACCGTTAAGGCCCTTGGGCCTCTTGTTAAATAACGCACACACTCAAGTTCGAATGTCACATTTCACAATCTTCTTACAGGGGTTTGATAGGCCATATTTCAAACTATGTAGGCAAAATGTGTGGTTGAATTTCTAAAGAGAGATTTTGTATCCTAGAGCAAAATTTCAAAGTTAAAAAAAAATTGCAGAAAAATTTGGCCTCTCTAGTGTGTACTACCTTAATATAATGCATTGATACGGCCGCTGAGTCATCATCCAGAACTCTCACGACACTTTTTGTGACTGGGGGCCAGGGCGGTAAAATTTGGGAAAACTAGCGACCTTTTGGTGAATTTTGGGAAAATCATTAATTAACATTATGCATTAAAATCATTAAATATTTGATTTCTGGTGTTTATCATTTCCATTTCGCAATATAGAGGAATATGAATAACGAGTCTAGTAATTACATTTTCTTACTAAATGTTCTTTAATGTTTGAGGAAGTGATGATTGGAAAAATTAACACATTCAATTGGGAAAAAAGGTACCTTTTTGAATTGAGAAAGGGGCCTTTAAACAGCCCCAATTATAGAGAATCAAGAGCCCAGTCCTCTCATAATCTAACATATCCTTATGTCACCAGGTTAAAGAGAAAATCTAAGTATATAACATGGACTTTTTATTGAAAATACATTTAAAGATTTATTGACCACTTAAAATTCAGAAAAAAAAATAAAATAAACTCTCTAATCTATTAATCAAAACATTCAGTTTGAGAAAGCAAAAATAAAACAATTCTAAGAAACAAAGTACTAAAGTACAAAGAGATATATAATTTATTAAACATACTATGAGTACAATGGCATAAGCATATTATATCCTGAGCCATTACATCATGAAATATAAAACTGAGTAAAACATGACTAGTGTATGCAATTCAAATATGTACATCACAGAATGTCTAAATGACTAGACAGTTTAAACAAAACATACAAAAAAATTTTAATATAAATAAGGTACATATACTATTATCTTAATATTACCATACATATATATATTTTTACTTTTAAGATAAATATATCTTATAACACTGACTTGATCCAAATCGAGTTGACAGATGCAAATCCTCATATCAAATGAGATGCGAATTGTTGATCTGCCCCTATCAACTCGACATGATACAGTTCTTTGGATCAAGTTGCTGTTGTAATGGTAAATTTACTATTGTATACCCCTCCATTCATAGCTGAATATAATTAAACTTTTAGGATCAATTATACAACTTTTATCTACATGTATTTAAAAAAAAACAAACACTTTTTCAAGGAAATTTTAGATATGCAAGGAAAAAACATCATGTATACTGTGAACAGTACATTATCAGTTTCTGAGAGAGGGATAATATCGGATCAGAAAACCATAGTGTGGTGATCTGGATGATTGGATCACATCCTCAGGTGATTTTGTGAAATCAACAATAAAACTGAGTGATACACAGTTGGGTAAATACATATTACATGTACTGTTATCTATAAAAACAACCTTACTGCATAGGATCAATTAATGCCATCCACCTCTTTGCCCAACAACTTTATTTGTCTGATGTGTAGCTCTGTAGTAAAACCTCTAACTTCAGATACGAATATGAGAGATGTCTTTTCCAGAATGACCTTGAACTTTGTCCTTGACATTTTGTTATATGGCAATATTTATCTATGAAGATAAGGACCCATTTTTATCACACATTGAGATAAAATAAGATAATTAATTCTCACAATGACCTTTGACTTTAGACTGGTTCAATCTGTGGAGGAATTGTCTTATTGTGGTCATCCCTTCTAACTCCATGAATAGGTTTATCAGGAAGAGATATGTTTACAAATATTATTATATTAAACATTTATCTCTTTTGAGGGCAATCTGTTCAGACCATCATATCATTCTCTTGATCTATATACGACTTCTTTTTTTTTTTTTTTGAAAAGTGCAAAGTTCAAGTCAAATAACACTATCTTTAAATTTGTGAAAGCCAAGTTTTGTGTTAATTACAAACATGAAATGACAAACTATCTCTCTATTTTGAAGACTTTTTTGTTTGTTTGCTAGCTTGTCAGAAAATGCTTTATTCATGGGCTTCCTACGTCAGTTTACATGTAATTGTTTTCAGACTGTTTCCTTATGCAACACATCCTAAATTACTTAAAGATGTAAGGTTAATTAAGGAAATCTATATTCACTTCAATCATAAACTGATAAAAACACTCAAATAACAGCAATGAAAATGTATAACAGCACCAAAACAATATATAACACCATAAAATCAATTGCTAAAATTAATTATATGTCAATAAAAAAACCCAACACCATTGTGCAACCAAATCAATACATATGCCAAAGTGTGAGCTCCCAACACAACCAAAAATTAAAAAAAAAATTAATAAACACTTTATAAGAATATATACCGGAATTATACCCAATCTTGATATCTGCAGCCCAAGGCCCTTTTCACAATTTTTTGAAAGATTTTGCAAGTTTTTACAAATCTTACAAAAAAATCTTAATAATCTTGCGAAAAGCCACTAAAGGATAAAAATTTTTATTGTGCACACATGGTTATCAATTGGTTGGTAATAATGTTACTTGTTTCCTTATCTTTGAGGCTGCTGTTCTATTACTGACAAAAGTGTTCAAATGAAACCAAAATATTGTGGATATAAAACTTAAAAATGTTTTGAATAATTTTAAGCAAGGGAATAATTACTTACATTTATATATCTTTTCAGTATAGTAAGCTAAATATATTCTTTTATTGCACTGTGAATGATAATCTCTTGTTTGAAAAATATGCATCAGGGATTTAGTTTATTGGGTAAATTTGAATTTGATTAATGCATTACATGTACAACCTCTGTAGTGATAACAGTTTCAATATTTAAGTGGTGATGCAAATCTGTGATGGTACATATCTCTGCTACAGACATGCACCTTAAATTTAAAATAATTTCTAGCAGGGGATGCATATTTGTGTTATTTTGATTTCTCTTTTATGATTCCTTGTCTCATAAATCATTTTTGCATGTATAATACAGAAATATTAAATATAACCCTTTTCATTAACCACACCTTGAATTTACCTAGCTTTGGAGGAAAGATGGTGTAATGCCATATACCCTCCCCCCTTTTAAAGTTCTTAGAGTAATGAGGTTGTCAATATTTAATATCGCTAACAATTTATTCAGCATTGGAGGTAATACATATCTTTCTTAACATCATAAAATAGCTAAAATTACTTTTGCTAAAGACATTTAACCATTTTTTAAGGACAAATAGCCAAATTTATGTCTTGCCAAAATTCCACTTATGTGGTATTTTTACAAAAAGATGTACATAATCAACGGTTTGTACATTCTTAACAATGTACAGAAGTTTCTGATAGGATATTGCAGTAGCAGATAAAAGATATCACCTTGGGAAGGATTATAACAAACTACTACGTCAGGATGACAGAGTATCCATGAATCCAATTGGATGATTATTATTCTCATGTTCCTGGATGATCCACATGATCTGACAGTTTAATTGGATAATCCACATGATCTGACAGTTTAATTGGATGATCCACCTGATCTGCCAGTCTAATCTCATGCAAAAGCACACATTCTGGATCAAGAGAGTTTGAAAATGTCTTCATAAGAGACAGTACTGGATACATCACTTACACGCTTCTCAGCAAGTCTCATTCCCAGGTGTCTAAGATGCATCATATAGTCTGAGTGGAATTTTCCGTCAGTGTAATTCATAAATCTCCTGTAATCATCCTGTAACTCCTGTAAATCATAATAACTTTACTTAAAGCTGTGCTTCCACAGTGTAGTATTTAGTATGAATTACATATCATTTGGAAAAACTTTCTTCTTATAATTTCATGCAGCCCACTGCGTCTTGTTACCCACAAAATAAACTTCTCAGGGATAAATTAACAGGAAGCAGGGGTGTGCAATCAAAAAAATCAAGTACTAGCCCACGGGCTAGTGGCAGCAATAAAGTTACTAGCCCAAAGTAAAAAGTTACTAGCCCAAATGTAAGGTTGGGGGGGGGGGGGGGGGGGGGAGTATCAACTAATATTGAAAAAAAAAAATTATTTTTGAGAAAGTCCGGGTTTTAAGGTCATTTTTTTTTTAATTAATTTTTTAATTCTCACTAGTAAAATTGAATCATGTATAAATTAATTATTATTATAGAAAATAAAATGAATTTAAATAAATTATTTTTTTTCTTTTTCTGTGCATTGCACTAGCTCATCAAAAGTGAAATCATTTTTTTTTCATCTTAAATTATTAAAAAACACAGGAAATATATTTTACGTAAATTACATAACACTTATCTTTCAGTTGATTGAGTGATCGTAAATAATTTAATGAGATATCTGCCTTTATTTACCATAATCACATGAATGGAAGAAATTTGGATTAGAAAAAAACGATCGTTTTTGGAAGTAAATAAGTCAGGAAGTGCTGCAAAATGGATAAGATTATGGAGATTTACGAACAATTGGAGCATGCTTCCTGGAAACTATTCATAGGTTGGGAATTTAATAGCAAAAAATGAATGAAAATACCAGTAGTGATTTTCATATATTACATTGGTATTTTTAATTTTTACTAGCCCAAGGGGCTACTTGCATTCAGAACACCACTTGCCCGACCCCAAAAAATGGTAGCCCCGGGTGCTGGGTGTTGCTAATTGCACACCCCTGGAAGTAAAAGCAAACATAATGCCTAATAAATAATTACAATTATGATATTGTTTATTTATCAACATGTAGATGTAGAAAGACGTCAACTATTCAATGACATTCAACTTTTTACTTTTTAAAAAATGAAATGCTACTGTTTTAATTCCCACCTTGAAATCTGATGTTACTGCTCTCCTTCTATCCTTTTCCTGTTTATATCGCTTCTCCATATCTAAATACCTGTACAAGAACAGCATATACATCTATGTAACGTACATTATCCTATCCAGTTCATAAGATTTATAAGATTCAATTTAATGGTATTTTCTATAGAGCTCTTTTTATAGCAATGAAGACATTTTTAAACAAGGAAATTGAGGGTGCTGCATTAATATATTTCTGCCTTTGATTATTAATTGGTAAAACTACATATTGTTGAGATGGTGAGTCTGACCATCTCAATGGGCCCCACTTTTAGTGAAGGACATTAGGATGAAATACCCTTTATGCAAGGGCACTCTTTGGGTGAAGTTTGAGTCAATGGGAGAAAAAATGCTCAAGAAAAGAATTTGAAAGATTTGCTATTATGTTGATGACTAACCAAGAAACTTGGCTTAAGAACACGCACACTCTCTACCCATGGGTACTCATTTATAGGTGAAGTTTGAGTTAGGTGTGGCCAAGTGGAGAGAAAATATGCTTTGGACAATGATTTTACTCAAAGAAGTTTTCTGAGCTTGACCTCTCATCTAGAAAATTGTTTCAAGGTCACTGCACACCCTCTACCCACTGGCCTTCTTTGTGTGAAGTATGAGCTCAGTTGACCCAAGGGAGAGAAAATATGCTCTGCATGTACAAGTATTTTACACAGAGAGGTTTTGCAACCTTGACATTTGATCAAGAAAATTGGTTCAAAGTCACTGCCAACCTTATACCCAAAAGTGAAGTCCGAGCCTGACTGGACCAATGGGAAAGAAAATATGCTCTAGACAAGGATTTTACACAAAGAGGTTTTTTCAACCTTGAGTTTTGATCCAGAAAATTGGTTTAAGGTCAACTGCATACCCTCTACTCATGGACACTTTATGAGTGAAGTGTGAGCTAGGTAAAGCCAAGGGGAGAGAAAATATATTCCAGACAAGAATTTTACTCAAGGAGGTTTTCTGACCTCTCTCATCTAGAAAATTAGGACAAGGTCACTGCACACCCTCTACCCACGGGCCTCCTATGTGTGAAGTATGAGCCCAATTGAGCCAAGGGGAGAGAAAATATACTCTGAACAAGGATTTTACAAAGAAAGTTTTGCAACCTTGACCTTTGATCTAGAAAATTGGTTGAAAGTCACTGCAGACCCTCTACACAAAGGTGAAGTCCAAGCCTGACTGGGCCAAGGGGAGAGAAAATATGTTTCAGACAAATGATATCAGATGGACAGACAGATGGATGAAGGGCTAGACTGATCACTATAGGACACCTGCAGAGCAGGGCCCTAATGAGGATATAAGATTATTTTTTATTGAAAAATCTGATGTACATATTTAAAAATCAAAGCTTATGTCTTAGGAATGTACTGTATATATATTTTCCTGCAATCTTACATATTTAAATAAACAGAATTGCTTAAGGTCGTAATTGCTTAGGTATATGAACTTCCAAGAAAAATCAGAGGCAAGATCAGGAGTGTCTTCGAGCATAGCAGCTAGCCTAGCAGCTAGTGCTAGGCTAGATGAATGGCTAAGCTAGCATATTGTTCTAGATCTAAATTTAGCAGCTATAATCTTGAAATTGCAGCCTTGTTCTTTGAAAGTTTAAAAACACAGACGTATGACTTCATCCAAGACATTAGTCATTTAGTTTGACAAATAAGATCTACTTTGACTGTCTACCAGTGTTCTGTAATGCAGTAACTAACCTCTTGTTCCACTTTTCAATTTCCTGTTGATGAAGCCTGGCCACTCTTTCTGCCTCCAGGCGAGCCTTTTCTTCACATTCCTGTCTTGTCCTTTCAATGGATTCTTGTTCTCTTTTAAGGAACTTTTCCTAAATCCAACAATAGAAATTTGTATAAAACAAATTCTTTCTTTACTTACGATGAATTTACAGAACTCCAAAACTTAAAAACTCTCCATCTCTTAATTTTCTTAACAAATCTTTTGACATAGATTTTATTACATTACTACTATATTGTTCAATTCAACAGGGTTCAGATTAATTGATTTTGTTCAACACAATTAATCCTTCTTGTTCCCTATAGGAGTGTTAGGATGTAAATTAGTAGAGCTCTGGATTACCTTCTGAATTTTAAGGGCATCAGCAATGGCTTTCTCCTTCTCTAAGACAAATTCGTTTCTGAGTTTTTTGGTTAAGGCTATGCAGGCTTCCTCTATTGCTTCCTTCTTTATCCTCTCACATTCATCCCACTGTTCCTCCAAAGCTTTCTCTTTCTCACGTTCCAATTTTTTGGTCAATTCACGGATCCTCTCCTCCTCCGCTTCATCTCTTTGTTTTTCTACTCTTGCTGCCAAGCGTTCATAGTACTTAAATAACAAAATGATCACGTTTATAATACTGGATATTGACTTATTCATTTTGTGTGTAAATTCAACCCAACATAAGCTTGCTCAGGAAGCTGAAGGCAAATGAAGCAAAAATTCTTTCTAAATTAAATACTTTTGTTCAAATATCAAACTCATACTTTTTGGTGTTGCCTACAGAACAGAACAACACTTGGGGATCACTAAACCTTGTGTCTGTCTGTCTGTCCCTCAGTCTGTCTGTTTATCACACCTTTTATGGACAGATGCATGGTAAACAGGAAGTTGACATCGGATTTGTACAAAAATTAATCCCACCATATGGCATGCCAAAACAGAGTGTACTAGAATTTCAAGCATCTGTGATGAGCAGTTGCTGAGAAAACTGTGACACAAATTTGGTATGGACAGACGCATAGAAAAACAGGGAGTTAACATCGGATTCTTAAAAAAAATAATGAATCCCATCACATTGGCATGCCTAAACAAAGTGTGTGCTAAAATATCGAGCATCTGCCATGATTAGTTGTTGAGAAAACTGTGAAGGAAATTTGGTACAGACAGATGCAGGGGTAAACAGGAAGTTGACATTGGATTCATACAAAAATGAATTCCACCATATGGTTTGCCAAAACAAAGGGTGTGCTAAAATTTCAAGCATCTGTGAGGAGTAGTTGCTGAGAAAACTGCGACGAAAATTTGTTACAGACAGACAGACACACACCACACAGACAGACAGACAGACAGGCACACAAGGGTAAAACAGTATACCCCCTCTCCTTCGGAGCGGGGGTATAAAAATATATAGATCTTATCGTGGCCCCACCCTTCCATAGGGACATGATGATTTGAATAAGTATACCCATAAGATGCTTGAATATTAATGCTTGACTAATCATGGCCTTGCTGTTCCTCATCAGAAAATATTTGAAATGACTCTGTGTCAGGGAACTTTCACATAAATTACTTTTTTTTTTAATCAGTGTTTCTTGAGAATAAGATTTTAATAAAAATCTTATTTGTGATATATTTATTTAAATATGAATTTTAATACAGTCAAACCTCATTATCTCAAACTCGACTGGACCAAGATTAATCTTTGAGATATCCAAGGGACTGCCAACTCACTTTGACATATATATTCCTGGTATTCGAGATATCAGTGTTAAAGAAAACAAAGTTTGACTGTATAAATGTGCTTTTTCTAATGCTACTCCATCAAACCTCTTTATATCCGGAAGTCTATGGGACTGAGAAAAAACTTCGAGATATCCGAGCATTTGAGATATTAAGGGTTAAATACTTAAAGAACAAGTAATTGGGACTTCCAATTCACTTCGACATATCCACGGTATTTGAGATATCTGTGTTACTGAGATACTGAAGTTCGACTGTACATGTATATAATGCTAGCCTGGAAAATTTTTTCATCAACTTTTTTTTATTTTTTGGCCTAACATATTTCAAATATACATGTTTACTATTTGATATCATTTATAATAGTAAATTCCTAATGAAATTTTCACACAGAAAAATTTTAATGTTTATTATTTGAAATAAAGTGCCCTACAAAATCATTGGATCCCAAATCAATGAAATATTATCTCTATACCTGCTTCTAAAGAATATATATGTACCTCTTTTTGCTTTTGTAGGGCTCGCTTTTTTTCCTCATCTTTCTCATTTCGGAGCCATTTGAGTGCAGCTTTGAGCTCCTTTGTTGCACGAGCCTCTGCTTTCTCTACTGCCTCTTCAAGTTCGCGGAGTTGTTGTTCCTTGGAGTCATCTGCTTTTGAGTTCAGCAAATTCTCACCAAGTTCTAAACATGTGGAAAGACATTGAGATTAATTTCTACATTGTTATAATATACCCCCCCCCCCCCTTTTTAATTTGTGTCACTGCAGTTACTCAGCCTAGGTATCATTATGAATTTCATGGATTAGTCTACTAAAAAAATTAGTGAAATAAAGTCTCCTAGCTATTAAGATTTGACTTAAAGCACTAGTATGATTCATTTGCTTACAATTTTTTTAAAAAATTACACTCAGAAAAAAATACCGAAAATATGTTCTATAAGGAATTTTTTATAAATAAGATGAATCTGTTTCTTGAATCAAACCCAGGACCTTTAGCAAACTTAATTCATACAATGGTTACTTTTCCATTAATGACCTAAAACATACCCAGTTCCTTTTACAATCAAATACTTTTATTCTTAAGAAACAAAACAATTAAGGGATTCTTGAATCTTGAACACAAATCATACAAAAATTTAGACTTTAAAAGAGTGACACATAAAACTGTTTACATACGAAAGCTGCATGATGATTCATGCGGATTGGAGTTTGACATTTTCATGAATTATGACATGGATATACCTGTTAACCCTTTTTGTCTAACATAACTGTACACTTCAGTAATCTGTTTGACATTAATTAAAATGAATTACAATTCAAAGTAAAGTCACAAACTTTAAGTTGGGAAAAGGGGGGGGGGGGGGGGGCTTAGCCGACTATATGTGCATGTCTCCCATTGATAAACAAAAAAATTTCAAGAAATATCCTACATTTACAGAATGTATTTTTGACATAATGACCAAAAAGTGGAAGGGAGCCCAAAGATAATCTTAACTGCCCCTACCCCACTCCCCGATATCAAATTAATTAAGTACACCTATAAATTTACATAATTAAACTTTGATATTTCATCCCTGCAATTTTGATAAAAAGAACTGCATAAAATAGAGCTTTCCTAATGATTTTTGGATGTTTAAGAATTAAATAAGATTAAAAACATTTTGATGTCTTAGGCTACTATATAAATATATATACTGACTTGCTTGATCAGAAAACACCTTTGATGTCACTGGACGTTGAAATTTTTTCAAAATACCCTTTCTCCCATAACTATCCCTCATTGTGTTTGACTTTACTGCATAACTCCACAACGGTGCAGGATAAATAATGACTGAATTTATCAATACTGGTTTATTGGAACATTTAATTACGTGTATTCAAATTTTCTCAATAAATGTTTGGCCAGCAACGCTTCCATGGTATTTATAAATTTTTAATTCACTCTTGCTTTCTCCGTATTAACGTTTAAGATATCTTTGTAGTAAAATTAGCAATGTTTAATCTACCTTTCTAAACATCACAGCTGCATTACAATGGACTCGTACCAAAGTTTATCATGAATTAAACATTCTAGAATTTATTAATTTAAATGGCCACAATATTTCTATATCCCATGAAAGGAAAGGCTCTAAGCTTTCGATTATCTACATGTCCCCTGTGATAAGTCAACAGGGCTACTCAACGGGAAATAAAGCACTGCCGATAACACTTTGATAATCATATCCCAACAGCGGAGGCAAGAGGGCATAGGTCATTATTTCTACTCTCACCTAAGATATTTTCGTGTGTCAGTCTTTGCGTCGATAACAGGGATTTGTTCAAAATTCTTTCTAGACATGCTAGAGGGTCATATAAATTCTTTGTCGTTTTAATTCCTTTCGCTGACATGTTTTCAAGTGTGGATTAACCGGAAGTTTATTGTTGCCTAGATAAATAATGAGGTGTCACCTAATTTCAGTAAAAAAAAGAGCACAGTCTAATCAAAGAACGTGCATATTTTCCCAAAAATTATTAAATATTTATTTTTATAATAGTTCTATCAATGTATGATATCAAAACTTTAAAGAATGAAATCAAAATTTTAAGAATGAAGTTTCTTTAAAATTTAAAACTCCTTGGACTTCATAAAAAACGTTAAGTGTAGGAAACAACCAGATCAAAAGACATTATACTAATTAATGATTTAAAAACATTATTATAAAAGTTAATAATATATTTTTTTTTTAGGGAAAATCAATGCAGGATACCTTTTCATTAATAAATTTTCAAAGAGAGTTACTCAAGAATTTTGCCTTCCATTTAAATGCATATTATCATCAAAACATCAGTAATTTAGCTTCTTTGTACCATAGGACTGGCGGTAAATTTAGATTTTGCTTTGATGTTGCTGTGGTGTATTTGGCAGAAGAATCACAGTCTTTTAAGTCACGCACACTTTTTGGCATCAAGCCATACTGTAACAAGACCTTGACTGATGAATGAATGATGTTAATTTCCAGACCTCGGCACATTCGGCAAACCTCGGCTGATTCCGTCACCTTCATCAAACCTCGGCTGTACGAGGAAACTTGATATGCGTCTCCGCTTAACATTTGTGATAAGGCTGCCTGTTTACCGCTTAGGGAAAACGTAACGCTTTGAAAACGATAATAAACATGCATCTAATATACGTTAAAAATTTTAAAAAGCATTTAGGTAACGCTAAGAATAACACTTACCAAGAAACAAGCACTTAGTATCTTTACATAATCACATGTTTGTTAACGGGTCGAGTTCAGCACACTGTGCACGTGTAAATGTAGGGCGCAGCCATATTGCTTATAAAGTAGCTCCGGTTCAAAGGAGGTTTACACGATACAGCCGAGGTTTGATGAGGTACGAATCGGCCGAGGTGTGCCGAGTGGACCTCGGCAATGGCTGATGAATGAATGAAGACAACATTTTTAATTTTAAAAAAATACTAACATTAACTTTCCAAAATTCGCCTCGTAATTTAATTTTCCATATTTTTTCTATGCGTTTCCCTATTCAGTAAATGATACGTTCTATCTCGAATTCTCGTCTTTCTATATTTTCTTTCTCCAAGTATATATAGCAATTTAACATCAGAAGTCCCTGCGTTTTTTTTTTTTTTTTACTTCATAAAGCATTTAAACTTTCATTAAAATGTCAGAAATCATTTCATAGTGTCTATCAGGGGCCTTTATACTAGACAGTATATATGTCGATCCCTGTTTCTAAACGTCGATTGCCATATTAGAAAATTTCAACGGCGATGTTTTCCATTGACACCCCCCCCCCTTTAAAAATAACGATCTCGAAAGATGAATTTTCTTTCAGAGTTGACGGCGTCAGTATAATACATGTAGTTTACAATCCTTACCCCTGTACCTGACCAAAAAATCATGTCTTCTGTGTCTTCAACATTTCGAAAATACACTCACAGTTTTTATTCACTCGGGGCTCCGCCCCTCGTGAATGAAAAACTGTGAGTGTATTTACCGATAGCCAATTAATATCTATAGTGTAACTATAACTTGCTACAGGTAACACAGTAAATTATCATTCTCTATCCAGAGTTATCTGCCGTATACAACACCTTGAGGTACGTAGAGGGAACGACAACTCTGCATAGTTATTAGACATGGTTCTTTAAACCACAAATAAATAAAATGTTATTCATGTCTCTGTTCTTCTTTTCTTCTCTATATCATATAAATGTAAATCTGATTTTAAGCACTGTTGTAATGTTCAAAATATTATTCTTTTTGTCAAACACAAACAAACACACAAGCAAATATTTTTCGTTGTAGTATGGTTGGACATGTAAGCCCTTCAACGTTATTTTAACCCTCAAAAATATACTACCAAAAATGAGAATGACTAAGTGTTTATGAAAGTTTCTTGAAGTTTTAAGCTAACCAGAGCTTTAAATGATGCATGTGAAGTTTTTCAATTCATGCCCCCTGGGGGTAGGGTGGGACCACAGAGTTTTACATCGAGATATATATAGGGAAAATCGGCTTTAAGAATATTCTTCTCTAGAACCACTGGACCAAAAAGCTGAAATTTATGTGAAAGCTTCCTGAGGTAGTGTAGAGTGTTCATGTCCCTTTGGCAGGGGAGCACTATAGGGGGATCAACGTTTTACATTGATATATATTGGCAAAATCTTTAAAAATCTAAATTATATTATTCTTAAGAACCATTGGACCAGTAAAGATGAAACTAATAGCTGATGGCTTTCTGAGGTAATATAGATTGTAAATTGTTCAGATCATGGTTCCGGGAGATAGAGTGGGATCAAAGTTTTACATAGGTTTATGTGGGAAAAAAATCTTTAAAACTCCTCTTCTCAAGAGGAGCAAAGTCATGATTAATCATTAATATGGAGGCATCTTTAGGTGGTGCAGATTCAAGTATGTTGAAATCTTGGAACGCCAGGGGTAGGGTGGGGGCACAATAGATGATCATAGTTTTACATAGGAATTTATAGGAGAATATTTTTAAAAAACCTTCTTCTCAAGAACAGCAAAGCCATGATTGGTCATATTTATATGGAAGCATCCTCTAGAAGTTAAAATTCAAATCATGAACCGAATATGTTGACCGATGTGGAGAATGTCAACGAATAAACATTAATCCTCAGAGAGTCGGGATTCGGGAATACTAGATTTATCCCCCCCCCCCCCAAAAAAAACAACACAACACAAAACAAGAATACAAAACAAGAGGCCCATGGGCCACATCGCTCACCTGAGCACACTGGCTAGGAAGAAGCAGAAATCAGTGCAGTATATTGAAAAGTTTAAGGGGGGGGGGGCTTAAATTAACACTACATCAGGATGCCTCAATATCAATATTACTAATCATGGCTTTGCTGTTCTTAAACATAAGAATTTTAAAGATTTTTCTCTCATAGGTATTCCTATGTAAAACTCTGATTGCTCATTGTGGCCCAACCCCTACCCACCGTAAATTTGAACAAATTTGAATCTACACTAACTGAGGATGCTTCTATAATAATATGACTAATCATGGCTTTGCTGTTCTTGAGCAGCAGATTTTTTCATGATGATTCCTATATATTCTGATGCAAAACTTTGACCCTCTGTTGTGCCCCAACCCCTGGGGGGTCATGATTTGAACAAATTTGATTCTACAATACCAAAGGTTGCTTCTGTATAAATATGACTAATAATGGCTTTGTTGTTCTTGAGAAGAGTATTTCAAAGATATTTCCTATGTAACGTGTATGATCAGGTTCTTACAAGGGATATATAGGTTTTCCATTTACTCTGTCTGAGTTAATGACTGGAATGATTATTAAGACAGCTATGTCTGAGGGTATATCACATAGTACTTAAATTTTCTCTTATCTAGAGATGGGGACTGGGTAAGGTACTACTTGCACCATGTTTCTCCCCTAGGTTCCCATTGACAGATAAGAACCAGTTGTTTTCGATAGACACTATTTTAGCAAGAGTTATTTCCCGTTGGACGCATATTGGAGGTATACAATGTATACAAGCCCGATTTCCTTCATTTATAATTCAACCAATTTAATCTTGTCATACTGGGCAATTGGGTGAAGATAGCACAATTTTCTTACGAATTTATGTTAACACAAGCTTCCTTTAACAGCTGTTTAATTCGTAATTTTGGTATTTTAAAGATTTTTGCCCTTATATTTCTGCCATACAATACATAGGCGCCGGAAGCAAATTGAAAGTGGGGTGGCTAACTGAAAGTTGGGGGGGGGGGGCTAAACCAACGAAAAAAGGTAAGCCCTAATTTTCAATGCCTATATTATGTCTATCTTTACAAAAAAAGTGGGGGGGGGGGGTTAAGCCCCCCCAGCCCCCCCCCCCAGTTCCGACGCCTATGCAATATGGTGGCCAACGGGAAATAACTCTTGCTAAGCCTGACAGGCCCACAGCTAGTAACGTTTTTGAAATTCTTGTTTTGGGGGCGGGGTGGGGGTTCTCTAACTTGTTTTCTTTTAAAATGCTGGAATTTGTCTGAGTTCGACCTATAACAGCAACAGAGAGTGTGTATGAAAGGGGGGTGCAGGCAGCGTTTAAATGAATGAATTTTTACATATGAAAAAGACTATTCTCAGAAAAAAAAGTGGGAAAAAAATTGGAGGCACCCCCTCCCTCTCCCCTGCGTATAACAGGTCTGTTCATCAGTTCATTGTCTTTAAGTATCAATCGGCCGATCGATGTTAGGAAGTCTTTGATGGATCGATCTAAGTTGTAAGCTGATAAATTAAAGCTAAAATACTTGGTAAAATTACTATTTCAAACACCTTCAGTTATTTTCTTAAAAATGTCATACGTATTTCTGCATTTCAAAAATGTAGGGATTATGAAGGATTAATCACCCTGTTTATTGAAAAGGAGATGGGTGAACATGACGAGCGATAAGCCTATAGTGTGACAAACATGAAGATGAGAAATTAAATTTCAATTATATCAAAATTTTCCTTGATATTTCGTTTAACATTAAAAAATACTTTATGTAAAATCTCTACAATTTGCAAAAATCCCTCAAAGATTGAAATTATTTGCCTGTGAAATATTAGACACACAATAAAG